GTAATAGTTATCAAAGTTATATTATTGGTGACTTTAGAGACTGCCTATGAAGATCTTTAATAAAGCAACATATTTTTATCTATCAGTATAGTGTTGGGAATTGGTTCAAATCTCATAATTGATGATTGGTTCATTACTACCGATCAATCATCGAAAATAATTGATTAGCATCATTTATGAAATTTGTTAATGCACATAAAAATAAGGAAAAAAGCATGTAGTTCTTTTAGGGGTTTTTGGGCAAAATTTCACATCTTTAAAGGATGACTAGTATGTTGGGAACATACATTTCTTGGAATCTTTAAGATAAATTCAATCATGACTTGAAATGAGATTGCAGTGCTTACGAAATGTAACAGACAAAACACAACCATGTGAAAAATATTGTTAATGAAAACAAGTGTTCCAGAATTGTTTGTGTTCGATTATGAGAAATTATGATCGATTGCTTGGTCGTTTAGTCACTACGACCAATCTTCGATTATTTCAATTAATCGGAACACCACTATATCAGTATCCAACTGCTTGTTACAACTGTTTAATCCTCACTTCATATTTGGCTTTATAACGTTTACGCTGTTTGATATTTAACTCTGGCTTTATGCAGGTATCAGATTCAGATTCATTTTTTTCAGTATTTCGGGCCCAAAGGCCTATAGTACAAATACACTTGCTACAATGAACATACGCAATATATCAACTGAATAGAGTTTCTCTTTCCTTTCACACATTCAGCACTCCATGAGCTACTAAAACAGCCTTACAGTATATACACAAGGGTATTCACTTTGCGTATTGATAGCTTTCTTTGGGTGTTTCACAGATTGTTATTGTTGGGACCATTTTGCATATATATTGGTGTGAAATATGCAAAATGGTCCCAACAATAACAACACGCACGTATGCACGCATGCAGAGCTTTCAGGCTGATTTAAAGGGTCTGGAAATGATTTGGGATATCAAGTGAAAACTACCAGATACTTAGCTTCTCCTGAAACGCTATAACTTATAGTCTTATATGTTTCTATTTGTACATTTTCACCTCATCTATAATGATGTAGAAGACATGGTCACAGGAGAGCTAGCCCAGCAGATGACACTAAGGGACATAACTCCAACATTCTTCCCTCCCAGACTGATATCATTTGCATGTTCAAAATATATTGACAAGCCATAGAACTCATTTATGAGCCCAGGAAGGAAGTGTAGTACACATCTGGTTATTACATCCCTGCCTGTGTATATCACAGTGCCTTTTATTTTTGATTGGTAGATAAAAAAAATGTTAATTAACAGTAAATGTGAGAATGTTTTAATGCATTATCTTCATTAGATAGGTATATGATAAACATGTCTAATTAACAATACACAAAATATAAACTTATTTGTTGTTTGATCACTATAGTGCAGGTGCTTTCATTTCATCAGAAAATATAGGATTAGTACAGAAATATATGTAATTGTCAAAGGATGCATTGAGTAATTTTGCAGAATTAGTCAAAATGTGTCGTCTTTAGGTTTTTCATGTGTATGTGTACAGAAGCATCTAAATCTTAATTGGCTAATTGTATTTTATGTAAATATGCAGTTTATCTAGACCTCTGCATATTGTGCCCATGCAGGGCATTGAACCAGGGTCTTCAGAAAGACAATCCAGCACTTTCCCCCAATTTGCCTCCCTTCAGCATTTACCATGTCTATATAAAAAATACTTTCAAGCTTCAGAAAGGCCAGAAACAAGCAACAAGTCAACCAAAACAGCTTCACAAAAAGATCAAAATAGTACTACAAAATCATCCTAGGACAATATGTAAGAATTACAAACACAGACTAAAATGATTAATTCATGTCTGTTTTCATGGTTAGTGTATCTCAGCTTAAGCTTCAGCAACAAGCATCTGTCAAGATCTCTTCATCTGCTATATACGCCATATCTGCTCATTGTTCATGAGTCGTTCTTAGTTTTAGGTAAATATATTTGTCTGTTGCTATTAATGATTGCTACAAAAAAACTTCTTAAAGCTAAAGTTACAGGTAAGCTATAAAATATGTCTTATCATGTAACTTTCTAAAACAGATATGTTTTACAAAGTGATATCATCAGTCAGTGATGACTTTATTATACAGAGGTTTCCAACAAGCATGGGTTGCTGAAGATCAAATCTAACCTGGATCTTCATGGGTAGGAATAGAAATGAAATAGAGTCAGTGAAATACGTTTTCTCTGTCTGCTAAGAAACATTTCCAAACATACTACAATGATGAATTCAAAAAGAGATACACGAATACCAAATTTTACTTGTTTTGAAAGGAATGGTAGATCAATTATTAGCAACAATGTCCCTGTCAGCAATTACCTTGATTACTTTGCATACAAGTTTAATGATCAGTAGAAAAATATTCACCATCTTTTGGCACTGATTTATCACATTTCCCTTTACAATACTTATCAAAGAACCAGGTATTTAAAATATAAAAGACATTGGGCAATTCATTCCATTTGGATTCAGTATTTGATGGTATGGATATTATTTCATTATGAACACTTTCATGACACTGACCTAGTGTATATACTGACTTGTTCACTTATGACTGTTCGTGCTCATTCGAATGTCTGAGTGATATTCTGACCATGCTGATTTATTACGACCAATGATTATCTGTTAGTCAAAGTCAGATAACTGATTGTGATTAATGTTCATAACTGAAAAGTGTACATAATTGATTGAGAAAATTGCTACTTGATTCCAGGGTGTTTATTCCAATCATTCATCATTATTTTTTTGGTAGTCTCTTAACCTGTCAATAGGAAGAAAAATATATATCATCAATATGGATCATTTGTGTAAAAGACTAAAACATTTATCATATTTATTATAATAAACAAGGTTAAAGGTCACATGCAATGTAAAACACAACTTTGCAGATTCTGATACCTTTCGGTATGGACTTACCGAAACAAAGCGTCAAAAATGCAAATTCAACTTATAAAGTTGAAAAATAACACGATGAAAAAAACGCGCGAAATCGGAGTTCAAACATTTCACTAATTTTCCCCAGACTTTTCTGGGGAATACGAGTTTCAACAGCTGGGCTGCGCTCATAGCACGTGCACAGTGAAATAGGTTCACGCAACTTGGAAGCGGGTTGTCGGGTGAATACTCGGTGAAGGCTTTGGTTTGAGCTATTTTTCTAATGTTTTGTTGATATCTCACAGGCGCGAGCTTTTTATATGTTATGACAGTAAATAAAATGTTTATATAATTTCATTTGTCTATTTCACCACACCTTCTTCTTACCGAGTCACTTTCTCAGTTGGATACTTAAAAGCAATGTCATTATTTAGCGTTGACACAATTTCTAACTGTGATATAGATATGTCGCTGTCACAGACAAAACTCAATGTCTTGTTTTATTGACACCTGTGTGTCTGCCTGCCTGTCTGCTAATGACAATATTCAATACACAACTGCGATCACTGACCACATGCAATTTGAACTTAACACCAATCAGGCTATACACCATAAACAAAACGCATTGATTTATGGCCCGAGTTCGGTCTCTGTCACATTATGTAATTACACAGACAGGCAGGTGTGATACTTGAACACATGACATGTTATGATGTCTGTTGATTGCAAAATGTTATACATAAAAAATGAGCATGTATTTACAAAACCCAACATCTCTATATATACACACACAATGAGCCGTGAAGACGGCATCTGCTAATGAACCAGCCATTACACTTGAGTGCACACCCGGCCGCTCTGACTGGGTTCGGTATCCCGGCTGCTTCGTTTCGAGGGAGGTAAACCCAAGTACAAAATATTGCACTTTTGATTTGCGATTATACGCTTATAATTTTGTTTATTTGTTTTTTCATAATCAGCAATGCATATTATATGTCATGAAGAAGTGATAATTGTGTTTTAATTATGTTTGATTTTTTGGTTGCATGTGACCTTTAACTTCTTTTAGTAGCATTTGAGAATTCGGGAGGTACATAAAGACAAGCTGTATGGACAGTAACTTCTTGTCAAGCAGGAATGACAATATAAACTCCATTGAAATATCTCACTTACAATATAAGGCAATTTGTTGTCAACAAAATTTTTCATTATTATAACTCGTTGTTTGACATACATGACATATACATCAGATATACATTGTACTCTCCAAAATACAGAAAAAGAATATCAACTGTCAGCTGCATCCAAATGGCATGGAACATGCTGATCAACTAATTTATTATACCATCATATTTCCATACCGAAAGGTATCAGAATCTGCATTTTACGTTGCATGTGACCTTTAACTATTTGTTAATACATGTTTAGGGAAAATTTAAACAAATTAACCACATTAAAAACTATTATTTTATTTTCATGATGATAAATAATATATGCTATGCATTATGTATGTCTGCTTGAACTGCAATTGTAAATTTTGGTAATCTAAATTTTTACACAAATATTTATATATTATATGGTCATTTTGGTGGGTATCTGTGAAATTGCTGTTTAGCATTGGAATGGCCCCAAATACATGTCAAATAAAGCTTTAATCTGTCATGGCTATGGTATACATGGAGAGTAGAAATTAAAAATAAAAGGAAGCCAGTTGATGTTAAACAATGTACCAAGTATGTGCACAATATACTATTATATAGCAACAAAGAGTAACGTGGTAATTGCTGAAGTTGAACATGATCACAAAATGTTATTTTCCGGTGCAAGAATAGTGATACCTCACTGTTATGTATTCGATATTATTACATGTTTTCAGCAAACAGTCGACTTTTGAACATAACAATCCCTAGGCTACTGAAGGCGTTGGTTTGTTTATTATAATGCGGCCTGTGTTGATAAAACAAAAATGGCTGCCACGTGTGGATGTTGTAAACACAGTGTTGTTTCAGTGATTGTGTTTGAACCAGAAATCACATGCTGAGCATTTTAATCTCTGGATATAGATAATTAAACTGTGTTTTGCCTTACCTATATTCCCACGCGATTGCCTCAAAGGGATGGTTCTTTCAAAGCGCCGAAGTTCAGGCGATGAATCCGATACAGCCATTTCTTTGATTTGAAATTGCCACCTTCATCTATCCCAGGATGCAGTGCTGTGATCTATTTTTAGTTCGCAACTCGTTAACTGGTGCGTACCTGTCACAACTGTCAAGGCGTTGCGTCTATTGAATAACCCCAGTGAAAGGATTTAAGTAATCACCAATCATGGAGACAGAATCATTAATCTCCGAACTACAGAGAAATGTTAAATGAAATTATGCTCTATATAAAAGTAGGCATTGATGAATGAAGCACTGTATATATGTACTCTTGTTTGCTGAAAAAACACAGAGAAGGTACATTTCAATTGACATTAACACTAGTTACAGTACATAGAGAACTTATGCAATGAGGACTGGATATTCAACTATCCCAGGTATCTGGTTTCCCATAATGGTGTTGATATGAGAAAATGTAAAATGTGTGGTTGGTTTCTTTTAAAAATAATGTGTCACAAAGGATACATCTCTTAATGCATCTGTTAATGATTTTCACTGTAAATGGAATAGGTGTTTTAGAAACTTTAGTGAGGTGAGGTGATATGTTCACTCCTAAATTATCCTGGAGTAAAGCTACATCTTGCCTTGCATCACAAGCTAGTAAGGCAATATTCTCTGTTACAAATTTCCAAAGGAAACTTGGCAGCATTAATTGTACAGATTTATTTAAAATCTTTGATTGTATGATATCACCCATTCTCTGTTATGGGTCTGAAATCTGGGGCACATCCTACTGTAATACTATTGAATCTGTCCATATTAAATTCTGTAAATATGTCTTGAAACTTGGAAAATCCACCTGTAACAATATTGTCTTTGGTGAATGTGGAAGAGTGCCTTTACAGTTTACTTATACAACCAATGCAGTGAAATACTGGTGCAGACTTCTAAACATGCCTGACTATAGATTACCAAAACAATGTTATTTTATGCTATTATCTTTAGACAGGGTAGGACGAAATTCATGGGCAACTAGAATTAAAAATATACTTTTTCAATTTTGTTTTGGATTTGTTTGGATAAGTCAGGAAATTGGTGATCACAAAATATTTATGGAATCATTTCAACAGACTACATGATAATTTATTTCAATCTTGGCATTCATCTTTGGACAGTAACTGTAAATGTCTTTACTATAAGCAATTCAAATCTTTGTTAAATGTTGAGAGCTACTTGATAAATAATGATATCCCTCAATATTTAAAAACTATATATGCCCGATTTCGGTGCTGTAATTTTAAACTAGCAGTTGAAACGGGCAGATACACCGATGTTGCATATAATGAAAGGCATTGCCGGTTTTGTAAATTAAATGGTATCTTCGTTGTTGAAGATGAATGGCATGTGTTTTATATCTGTGATGCATATTCTCATATCAGAAATAAGTACATATCAAAATATTTTAGTAAATGTCCATCAATTATTAATTTTATATCAATATTACAGAGTAAAAATGTTAATATTATCAAGGATGTATGTCTATTTTAAAACTTTGTTGACAAGAAACACAAATCTAAATGAAATATATATGTGCTCTACTTATCATCAATTTATGTACATGTATTTTGGGCCGGAGGCCTGTTACTGAAATAAGATTCTGTTCTGTTCTGTAACTTCTTGATCAAAGAGAAATTAATTTACCTACTCAGATTTACTCCGTCTCCGAAACTACAAGCTATAGTTTAAGAAATAACTCTGATTTTTACAGTCGGAATGCCCCTTATGCCAAACCCTTTCTACCCGACACAATAAATTTATGGAATGCCCTACCAAATTCCAAAGAGTCATGCAGTCTTAAAGAATTTTAAAACCTAATTACAAAAACCGAAAACCAGATTTATATTGATCTTAATTATGGCTCTTGTTTTTGTCAAATCGTTCATTGCTGCATCAGGCTCGGATCTAGCGACCAAAACGCCGATAAGTATATATAACAGACATTTAATAGACAGTGCATGTTGCTCTTGTGGATATCAACTACCCGTTTTAACCTGGATATTTTTTTAGAACGGAAACAAAGAAAATCTTCCTTGTGTAAACCAGGAAATAGTTGAAACCGTCCATGATTATATCATCAAGACACAACCTTCAAATTTTCACAGGGAAATACTGAAATTAACTCAACAACCTTCTCGTGATTGATTTATATTCCTACAATAGCTTGTTAGACACACACAACTGTAAGTCTCTAATTATGACTACTTAGCGTTGTTAACATAAGCAGTAATACTTCACCAATCCCAATTCATTTTCATAAATAATAACAAAATAGGTTTAAACCAAAATGACTTTCAAACTTCATAATAGTCAATAAAAATGTGTTATCATAATTACATATTCTTCTGAATAAATAAAATATTCAATAAACTATTTCTTCTGTGTACATATAATCTTTGATAATCTATTTCATTAATGAACTATGCCTCCTGTGGGTACTGGGCTGGGCTGATCCCACTTTCATTGTAGGGATGTGGAAACACCACCTATGTGCACTGAACCATTAATTATTGTGTCTCACAACTGGGAGTTCTCACAAATGGGAGGACACCCACGGAGGCGGTCTTTAGTGATAATATATTGATTGATAAGCATTTTTAGATGTCCACAAAGTAGATGGCAAAGTGGAAAGAAACATATGGATAACTTGATAGATTAATGCCAAGTAATATATATATTGTCCTTTAATGACTTTATAAATGGACTGTGTATTGGTGTTCATCCATCATATAAATTGTACAGGAAATTGCAGATCGGCAATACAGTCCGGAAGATTTTCAATAAAAATGTTTGGGTATTGTTCTGTTTAAAATAATAGATGAAGGTTTTGGTGACATGTGTGTGTTAATCTCTGACTGTCTGTGTACATTGTGCAAGGGTTAATTTTATATGAATAATGTTTATATCTCAGTCTTTTGTTAGTCGCCTGTTTGGAAAAACTTTATTTGGTAAACCGATGTTAAATATGGATTTAATACATAAGGAAGGGTCTCTTTATAATGATGGGTTATAACAGTTGACTTATGCTAGTGTTAAATCATGTGTTAGATGTCATACTAGATATATTTTCAGAAATGAATAATTGTAACGAGAGAGTGCAACAGGGGTAGTATTTTATACACTGTTGTTTTCATTCAGCTAATATTATAGAATGTTCTTGTCACCAAGGTGTCCCGTTTTATAGAGACATAACTCATCTTTCTTTTTTGCTCCTGTTTTCTGATTATGTTATTCATACCTTGTAGGTATACAAGATGACATAAATTTAGCACAACAATTTCAGGAACATTTGTGTAAATAAAGTTTTTCTAAAACAAAGAGAAAAGTTCCTTCAAAGCTCGTGTGGTATTGTGGAGTTCATTTTATTGAATATTATATTTCTTATAAATGGTCAGGTTGGTTTATTTCCGAGGTTGATACTAAACAAAATTTTACTAAGGTTATAAATTAATACAACTCACTACCAAGTATAACAGTGACAGTGCAGATTCAAAAACATTGTTGGGGGGTTGTATGGTTAGGACAATCAGTGTATTGCTACTATACACTTTCCTACAAACATTTATGGATAGACACATTTATGGGAGGACACAGCTATTGGAGAAAGTGGGTGTGTACACTTTATTTTGACGTGAGTTTCAATGCAACATGTGTTATATTTGGGATTACACTTTCTTAGTAAAGTACAATTTCTATATGGCATTGTGTAATCACTGAGTTTCAATGGTCATTTAATAAACTTTCAGGACAAAAGGGGGCTGCGCAAATGGGGACTATCAGTTGTTGAATTTTGAGCCTTTACAGATCGGAAAATCAAAAGGGCAAATTTATGACGGGTGTCGGCCCGGGAAAGCGAAATTTTAATATTCCCTATTCCCGGTAAAGCGAAAACGAAAGTTGTGCTAGAGGTGCCGCGAAAGCGAATTGCTATGAAAACATCGGATTACCGTACTTCAGATTAGCGCGCGACCCCAATACTCGATCTGTGAGCCTCTTAACTGAGATGAAGTTTCAATTGTTTCAAGTTTCAGCACGTACGTGACCCCACTTGTGAAAGGAATACGAAATGCACGTGCAAGTCATAATGACCCAACCACCGCAATCGACAAATTTTTGCTGTTAGAGATATCAGTGATATGTCCTACAAAGAAGAATCTATCTCTCTAGAGAAACTTCAAAACTTTTTCCGCCAGCTCAGTAAGATATACCAATGGAAAAATTTAAGGAAGCTGAATCCGAATTAGAAGATTTTAATAAAATAAAGACTCAAGGCTCCTTTATAAGATCAAAAGCCAAATGGATTGAGCAAGGGGAAAATCATCCAAATACTTTTCACAATTTAAAGCCAGAATGAGCCCAGATGAAAAACAACAACACAACATTAGGTATTAACTCTAGTTTTATAGTTTTGTAATGAATTATGATCATTGTTGAAAGAACTTTTTGTTCCTGGCCAAACTGGTCAAAGTTCCGTCAACTTTTTTCAAGTAAAATATCTACTCTTAAAATGTATCCAAGTTCATTAAAATTGTTTGTAAACACTTTAATTGATGTATCATTTAGTCATCTTGTTGTACATTTTGTATGTCCTCCTTTGTTATACTTGTGTACCACAAGTGAGCGGGCATCTCATTGTGAACTACCTGGGGGAAGTTGATCTGTATCATAAATTGTATTATTTCAGAAAATATTCACAGGTTATTCATCCTACATGAAGATGGACGAATGTATACATGAATACTACGTAATAAAAATAAAATGTCAGTACACCATCCAGTATGCTTTACCATGGCATGCTCTACGGAGACGACTGGACGAATTCCGATCTCCGTGTATAAATTGAGGAGGTTTGGTCCAAAGGCCATAACTGTGAATAATTTCAGTTTCCCTCCGTCCTCGTCTCGCTAAATTTGCTACTCCCTCAATCTGTGTAACATAAAAACACTAAAATGGTCAGTTATAATGAAACCACAATGTTTTTACTACAGTTAGACTGAGCATGTGTAGAAGTGGGCCAGCTCACCCAGGCAAAATACCATAATTTGTTGATGTAGATAATAATGCTGATCTGATTATGAGTGAGTGAGTGAGTGAGTTTAGTTTTACGCCTCACTCAGCAATATTCCAGCTATATGGCGGCAGTCTGTAAATAATCAAGTCTGGACCAGACAATCCAGTGATCAACAGCATGAGCATCGCCTCTTGGGACGACAAGCATAGTCGCCTTACCACCCGATCCCGTTAGTCGCCTCTTACGACAAGCATAGTCGCCTTTTCTGGCAAGCATGGGTTGCTGAAGACCTATTCTACCCCGGATCTTCACGGGTCTGATCTGATTATGAATTCGGTGTATGTTTAAGAGGTTCTTCGACTTAGGAAACACATTGTTTTAAGCTTACATGAATAAAAGTACAGTAGCGTCGGTCGATGGATGAATTTGATTGATTTATGCTGCTGATGTAAGAAGTGATGATGAAACGTTTGGCGTCATGACTGTATAAATCTATACGAAATATAGGCACAAAAACAATACGGATATTCTTAAATAGTTTACTTTGTTGTGAAACCTTTTGACCCCTCGTTATCAGTGTGCGAAATAGTTTCCACATTTTGCTAGTCAGTCGGGCTAGCTATGCCTGAAAGTCACTAGCCCACAAAACAAGTCACTAGCGCGAAATTTTAATGTAAAAACTAAGCAAAAGATTACAAAAATAGATGAGAATAAGATATTGTAGGCATGACAATAATATGATGAACATTTTATCAGGTCATAATCTTGCATGATTTAAAAGTATATTGTAACTTATCAAGTCGGAGAGAGTTATATATTTACAAAAGGACCCTATGAAAATTCACTAGCCAGTCGGGCCAGTGACTGGAGATTTACTGGCCCGACTGGATTTTTACTAGCCGCGGGCTAGCGGGCCAGAGGCTATTTCGCACACTGCTCGTTATATACTTTCATTACCAAAGATAACGTGCGTTTTACGTTAAGACCAGTTATTAAACATTGGAGAACTATATATACTTGTTAAAATCTATAACTATAGCTGGTGCATTATGGCAATCCAGGGTCCTGTTTCAAAAGCTATCGTAGCGCTGCGACTGTCGTATCTCATATACTGCCAGGGCCTAGATCTTCGAAGCTCTCTTAGATTGTTGTAAGTTAATGTTATGTATGGCACTTACGACTGTCTTAGCGCTAAGAGAGCTTCGAAAATCTTTGTCATGTAACACAGTCGTAGCGCTAGACTAATGCTTAGTCTCTGAATATATATAATTTTCATAGTAACAAACAAGCCCATTTAAATTGAAAAGGAGCCCCAGGGAGACCAGAGATTCAGAACCTGAGGAAATCTAGGCTTGATTTATTTAGGGCTTTAGCACTGCAGAGTGGGCTTGGCAGTAGGGAAAATATTGTGGTTCAGGGACTGTGAGACAGACTATCGTAGCGCTAGCGACAGCCTTCTGAAACAGGGCCCAGCTTCACATCGAATCAATCTGAGACACGACGATAGCATTCACGTGACCGGCCAATGCGCATGATCACCATCAAGGTTCTCCAGAGGGGATTCCCCCGTTGGACTTTCCAGCTCTGAAATTTAATAAAACTGTGTATTGTAGACTTTACAGCATCGTTGATATATCTGTGCCCAACCCTTGTCAGGAAAGGTGAGTATGGTAGCATTATCATCGGCGGTCATCAGCATTGCATGCTTGTGTGATTTATGTATCTGCAGACAACTTTCATGTGTTTTGTACAGAGTTGCAATGTCATAAGGGATCGTTAAAAATGTATGGCGTGGAGGGTGGGGTGGGATTGCTGATTAACGGAGGGTTACCCATTTTGTTCTGGGGAGGTAGGGCGTCATCAGTTTGGTACACCTGAAGTAAGGGGGTCGTCACTTACTTTGCACATGATTTGGGGTTTTGGGGGTTGTTTTTGTTTTTTTTTTTGTTTTTGTTTTTTTGTTTCTTTTTGGGGAGATGTCTTTTTTCTTTGGGAATGGGGGCTGGGGGGTGTTTGTCATTCACATTGTACATGCTCCTCCATAAAATCCTCATCATTTCCCCACTCAACTACGTCAATCCAGGCACCACATGCAAAGCACATGCAAAGCATTTTCAGTGAATTCTTGTACCTCACGGGGTTGCGTCCCCACCCTCTCAGAGTAAGGCCTCTAAATTTGAAATGAGTGAGGACGATTAATATTAATACATCGTATGTCATGTTTAAGAGAGCAAATCCATATGAGGTGTACTTAATCGGGAATATTCACTAAATGTCAATTAGTAAAAACTAGCCACAATAAAACCATAGTAACCTTTCCTGAATCCACATTATGTTGTGTGGCGTCTTAGGGACCGTTCATAATTTATGGCAAGAGTGGGTGATGATGATTTTTATTCAGAAGCATGTACAATGTGAATGACACACACACACACACCCCTAAAATTTACGTACAACGTAAGTGAAACCCCCCCTTGCATATCATGTACAAAATCAATGACCCCCTTCCCCCTTCCCATATTTTTCAAGCATAATGTTGAAGTATTTTTATGTAGATAATTGCTGACCCCCTAGTACATGTGTACAAAATTGCTGACCCCATTCCTCCAAAGAACAAAATGGGTGACCCCCTTAAATTCATCACACCCCCACCCCACCCCCCACCCCCACCACCCCCCACCCCAGCCATAAATTATGAACGGTCCCTTATTTCCGTACCTTTGAAAAACTGAAATACTATAGGCTACATTTCAACAGTTGAAGTAAACTATGATGGCATACCACTGGTATTCTAAAGTAAGAATGTAGTTCCTTGGGGAAATATGTACAAATTCCCATTGATTCGCATCGACTCTTCAACATTTGGGACATCATCAGAAAGCACTAAAGCATCCACATTACTATGCAGTTCACTTACAACTGACGACTATGAGCTGGGTCATCGTGCCTTCAACTCCACAGTACACCGGTATTGTCACACTGCCCAGAGTGAAAGCACCACCCACTAGGTAGTCTCACTGCAGTTGTGAACCACTGAATAATTTCTCACCGGGAATCATAGAAGCGACCCCCAAGCAACTAGCAATTCACATTACTCGAGACAAAACATTTCGAGACTTAAAAAACGTTGATTAGCCTGAACTATAAACGGTTTTCAGATTTCATTATTGTGTTTCGTAATAATCCTATGTAAATTAATGTGTTCTTCACACCAGTTCTATAATTGTCAGTAAGGTCAGTAAACGTGAACTGTTCCAGTGAAAGAAAAACATGCGCAGTTCATGGTCCTTGTACTAAACTACTGGCTGGTCAGTTTGCTTTCACAAGGTGTCCGCAATATGAAAAAAAATCTTCGCAACCAATAAGCACATCCAAATGCATTTCGGCTTGTGATGATCGGCTGAAATGTAACCGCGAAGCCATGTATGCACATGCAACTAACAGCCAATATGCTTTAACTAACTGTTATGTGGGCTCGATATCACTGGGTCAGCGTGATCTGCTATTTCTACGAAAGGCCTCGCTTTCCTGGAATTGTCAGTGACTGTCAGAGGTGTCGCCGGGGTTGAAACTTTATTGAATCAATGTTGCCTGTTTCCAGTGGGTGTATTCTACAATTGTGGAAATTGCTCTGGGACCTTGTTGCTCCCTCTTGGATTTTGAGATGAACTAGACATACTTCGCCCACTGTGAGTATATCTTAAATAATGCACTGCAACCACAACGCTCTCACATTCATCTAATGTTGTTAGGGGATAGGGAGTCAGACTGTTGGTATCCATGGATTTCTGCCAAGCATAAGAGACACAAAACAATATAATGTGTACGTACAAAAACTCACTTAAAATTTTAAATATTTTTCAACAGTAAACATGAACAGTCCACGGCCCTTGTACTACATACTTTTCGGTCGGTGCGCTATCACAAGATGGTCGTTACATACATATAGCTTCCCAGTCAATAAGCATATCCAACCGGATTCCGGCTTCTGAATTAATGTAACGCTTGTAATAAATGCATCTGAATTTACTTTATGTCATGTAATTTTCACGAAGCCATGTATATAAATGCAACTGACTGCCCTCATGCTTAAACTGTTACTTTATGTCACTAGGGCAATGTGACCTGCTATTAATTTTCTACGAAGCCCTCGTTTTTTTTCTATAATTGTCAGTGAGTGTGTTGTCGCTAGAGTTAAACTTATTGAATCAGTGTTTTAGTGTACAGTGGTATATACTACAATTGTGTAAACTGCCCTTTGCCCCATCTTTGATCTGGTGATGAAGGTGGCATACAGCTGTATCTGCCCACTGTGGCCGTGGGACAAAGGTTCACAGCTACTGAAGCTGGGCTAAATTTAGAACTCTGCAAGGGAGATTACTGAGTCTCGTGATGATAGGTTCTGTAATATAGCTATATATACTATTTTACATTTATATTACATGCAGTTTCAAAGTACCTGGACATGTTTATTATAGACATGTATTGTAGGCGATCGTAGCAAAACTATATACCCTTTTTATATATGTGATATGACAGTTGGAGACTATGTATTTAATATTTAATTATCATTATGTATTTTATGGAGGTATATAATGGAGGTTACATCATCGATTAGTAATGATCTGGAGATTTGTCTGCATTTATGTCATATATGGATATCATGTCACTGAACAGAACAATTGGATAGTATGGTGGTCTGATTTAAGACAATGTATAAATATAGTTTTCAAATATATATTTCTATAGGCTACATGGATTATCTGACACGTGGTGATTTTGTCTAAGTATTTCAGCAGAATGTCACAGAAATAATATCATATATTACTTTGCACGCAAGTTCTGTCAGAGTATATTAATCTTGTTAATGGTTTAAATGTTGTGAATATAGTTGTAAGAAATGTACATTTGTAATAGGTATCAAAGTGCTTAATTACTAGCTTTTATCAATACACCTTCATTTAATATTTTTACTTTTTACTTTTATCTATATGTATCAGTAACTGTCATTCGTAAGGCCAACTTATCTAGTATTTTATGTAACCTGTCCTATCAATAATGATAATGCTATAAGCAAGTAAAAGCACGACTAGTTCTAATGCATTATGTCTGGTATTTCTAGGTAGGTACCATCTCCTTAGCTCCAGGTACACCAGAGATGGCAGACCCAGAAGCTGTCACAGAGGTGGAAGCCAGCAGGCAAGGAGGTGATCAGGTAGGAAACATTAGTAGATCAATCATGGATACGAATGATGCATTAACGAAGATCGTTTATTTCGACGATATTGTAAACAATCAACAAAAACTTGAGAGAAACATACGTGATAAGATAAAGAATTTGTAATTACTGTATGTGAATTTGGGGTATTTAGTTTGGGCTTTTAATGAAATATATTTTATATCTATTTCCTTCAGAGTCATACCGTAACGGACCGTGATGTATCACATGACATGGTCATGGTAGTCGGTAGGGAGGTCGCACTAAATGGGGCAACTGCTGGTGCACATGATCGAGTAGCATCAATACAAACCTTTGGCCCACCGGAAATCAACGACCCAGGTTAGTTAGTTACAGGTGTCAGTGCTTATTTCGACAAGAAACTTAAGTACGTTAACTCACAAGCTGCACTTATTTCTAAATATGCTTGGTTGGTTGTTTAACGCCACACTCAACAGTATTCCAGCTGTATGGTGGCGGTCTGTAAATAACCGAGTCTGGACCAGACAATCCAGTGATCAACAGCATGAGGATCGATCTACGATACTGGGATGCGATGACATGACTGTGTCAACCAAGTCTGAGAGCCTGACCACCCGATCCCGTTAGTCGCCTCTTACGACAAGCATGGGTTGCTGAAGACCAATACTAACCCGGATCTTCACGGGTCCAAATAAGCAGTGTAAACCCAGATAACAAGTTCACATTGTCACAACGTTTTGCTTTCGTCGTTACAACGTTATTCTGTGGACTCTCATTTACCTTTGTCACATCGTTGTGGCCTGACGTTGTCATACGTCATATTTACGTCGGCACAAGATTAAAGTTGTTTATACTAACGTATTTTACGTTGTCTTAACGTTCTATTTCACGTTAGTAGTTAAATAGTTTCCCCAATTGTGAACAGTACATAAGAAATAAAGCAGAAATTAACTTCAATGTTTATTCGCCAATTTGCATGTTGTTTTAGTTTTATGTTTTCTGAAGCTTAAGTTGAATAGTGAAGAAAGAATCTCAAAGTCTCAAAGTGAAAGTTTTACAGAAAACTATCGTGACACGATGTTATAAGAAACGTTGTTATAACGTTGTGGGGAGCCCAAAGCATAACGTTTCCTCAACGTAAATTTCCAAGGTTGTTATTACGTTGTGACATAACGTTATAAAATAACGTATTACTAATGTTGTGACAAGGTTGTCTCATGACGTTACCATTCTACAACCTTCTCACAACGTTGCGAAAACGTTGTGTGTTAGCTGGGAAGTAATACTTCAGTATGTGTAGCTACATTGAATATTTTGCAGGTATTCTGGAAGCGATGGAACAACTTTCACTGTCATCGATTCCTGAAGGTGAGTATTATGTGACTGGGTGTATTATGTGAGTTGTGGTAAGATATGTGATTCATTGAGATGGAAATGATTAGGGAGTTGTTTAAATATAAATGTCGATCAAGAATAATCAGATTCCCCTCAGTCTTGGAGGCAAATTGGTGGTGAAAATATATGAGTGAGTGAGTATGGTTTTTCGCCGCCTTTAGCAATATTCCAGCAATATCACGGCGGGGGACACCAGAAATGGGCTTTACGCATTGAGCACATGTGGGGAATCGAACCCGGGTCGAACCCATCGACATGTGACAAATATGCTTCCCATCAATAGTTTAGGCTCACTAGTGTAAATATAGGCACTTACTTCAGGCAACTGTTTTAAACTGAATTTTGCAAAATATTCCATACTGTTTAAAGGTACTGTTTACACATGAATTGATGTATTGTAAAACAAATTCGTAACGTTGAAAAGATTATTGTCATGAGTTCAATAAATGATAAAAATCAGTGAAAATTGGCGAATTCTTAATATAACTTTAAACCAAACGCAGCTGTTCACATGGGCGATATTTGCACATGCTTTTCAGCAATGTTATGCATGGTATCCCCAAGTTAGTGGAGAAATCAATCTTCGATGTAACCATATATATACACATAACATATAGTGAGTGTTTTAAGTGAGTCTAAACTTTTGATGGGAAGTATATAAGAATGGATCACTGAACATCAGTGATGACATCAGATGTTCGCAGAAGGAGTAAACATAATCTGCCCTTCCTATAACACCCGGAACTCATACAAGACAGTACTCCTACCATGAGAGACTTCTGGTATCAAGATTGAAAGCACGGAAAGGTGAATTGATTTAGCAAAGAGTAATTATAATGCGTAAGTAGCTGGGACGATTACACACCTTTTTGGATCTCACGTATTTACTTGTGCTATGCCTTAAACTGAATAATTATGCTATGAAATATTCGTATAATGCTTTAATATCGTTTTTATCACAGGTGCACGCCCTGAGAACGTGAACGTCGTAAACCTTATTCGAAAAATGAAGGTTTCACAAGGAACCTCCCTCGGTGATGTCGATGATATTCCAGGTATTCGTACTTTCGATCATAACCAAAATTGTCCGTGTTTAAAAAACATGTGTAGAACAACAGTCAGTATATTAGAATGTACATGGTCTAACCAGAGAAAACATGCACAAATGTCAGTTACATATGGAAGTGTGTACCCGTCTTTATTTATATATTATCTCCTTGTAGATATGGTCAAAAAGAAAATGAAGTTGGCGAAAGACATTTTTGTGAAAACAGAAGCTTATAGAAATGTCTATGATGCTCTGGAAAACGACGGACATGTGCTTATTTCTGGATCACCTGGGTCAGGTAAAACAACAATGGCACTTTACATCATGGGCAAATACCGACGAAAGAAGTACTACGTGAAATATGTAGATGATGTAGCGCATTTCAAAGTTGAACGTCATGTTAATCTCAAAGTTCCAACGCTGCTTGTTTTAGATGATGTGTTTGGTCGCTTTGCTCCTACCTCCGAAGTCAAAGTTCATTGTACAAAGATATTGGATTACTTAGAGACACATTTCAAATGCTTGGAGGAAAAGAGGAAGAAAAGACAAAATGATGATGAAAGTAAAGATGACAAGGCATCTGCAACTCCTGAAACCTCTCTAAAGGTTATCATGAGCAGTAGGACAAACATATCCAGGCATCAACTTGTCTCTACTATGTTAAGGAAATACAAAACATCCTTGTTCAGACCAAGCACTATAGCTGATCTCACAATATCTGAGCTGAAAGAACATGAGAAAGAATCGATTCTTCGAAAACATTTGCCCAAAGCGAGATTTGATCTCAATGAACATGAAATAAAACACATTGCAAGTTTGGAATATAAGACACTTGGCTTTCCATATATCTGTCAGTTGTTTGCAGACGGTTGTTCGTCAAAGGATCAAGCTGTGGATTTTTTCACGGAGCCCTGGACATATCTGCATGACTTGATAAGCGACATATTCACATCAGATGATCCCAACTACAGAGCTGCAGTGCTACTGCTTATGGTTCTCAATGATGGGACACTGAATTTGATTCATCTCCAACAGGCTCGTAAGAAAGGAGGGAATGTTGAACTTCGGGAAAAGATAGAAACAGTTGAGGAGATACTTCCAGATGTTGGTCATGCACATCGTCTAAATGAAGCTGCGAGAAACGAGAATCGAACTCTTTTGTTGTCCGAAGGCGACAGGATGACATTTAGCCATCCCACTATCTACGATGTTGTCGCGTTTGTTGTAGGGGACATGCATCCCGACTTTATCCTTCAAAACTGCAGTCTCAAATTTTTAATTGAAAGGACAAAAGTTTCAGAGGATTCCATCTCAGAGGATCCAAGTGGTGGTAATATGCACAGCTTCATGATACAACTTACACAAGAAGATGCAGGTGTTGCACTGGTGGGGAGACTAGCAAGGGAGATCGTTGATGGGAATATTGCTCTTCCATTGTCACATCAATGTTTCACTCTGGAATATATGGCCACATGTCTCTTTTCAAAACTCTTGAGTCATGGCAACATTGAACAATATTTGCATTCTCGAGGTAAAGATCATGGAATGGGATTCTTGTACTGGTCATCTTACTCCAGCACTGCTCCTGTAAGCAAACTTTCATTTGAGCATACAACATTTTCTCTTCCTGAAATCCTTGAAGGTTATCTTGGTTGTTGCCTGAGCGGAAACGTGTCTTCATTACTGATACTCATTGAAAACTCAAAGGATAGATTGCACGAAGTTGCCTCCATTACTGTTGGAGACATCCTTGGTATCACACAAGAAACAAGACCGTTAGTTCGAACCTTATCAACAGCATGCAGCCCGACCAAAACAGAAGTGCCACCTGAAATTGAAACACCTCGATCGCATGGTGACAACAAAGATCAGTTGATCCACATAGCAACTGCATATGGATTCACCGCAATTGTAGAACTGCTTCTTGACCGTGTTGGTGTACATATTGATGTTCGAGGAGGAAATGACATGACTGCTATTATGTATGCTTGCTACCTTGGACACAAGGAGTTAGCAGAACTCCTACTTCAAAGACAGGCTGACCCAGAACTGCTTGATGAAGAAGGTGATAACTGTCTTCATCTTGCATGTCGAGGAGGATCCATAGATATTGTAAAACTCCTTCTAGATAAAACCATGGATATCGACAAACATGGGGAGCATGCACGAACACCTTTAATGTATGCCTCATACAATGGTCATGGGGATCTTGTGAGTTTTCTACTGGCCAACGGAGCAAATGCCGTACCAGATGTATCTGCTATAAAACGAAAAGACAATTGTCTCCACCTTGCTTGTGTGAAAGGTGAAACAGAAGTAGTACGAATCCTTCTTGACCAAGGTGGTATGGAGATTGAAGTGATAGGTCAAAGAGGAAGAACACCACTGATGTATGCTTGCAGACATGGATGGTTAGCGACTGCCAAAGAACTTGTGGCCCGGAATGCCAAAGTAAATGTACTGGACGAAGGCAGTATGAACTGTTTACATCTTACAGCCATCAAAGGAAATATACCAGTTGCAGAGTGGCTCCTTGGTTTGAATGTAGGACTCACTGTTGACTGTGTTAATGCTGGTGGAAGAACACCTTTGATGTTAGCAATGAAACATGGTCACACGGAAATGGCTGACTTTCTTATGACAAAAGGTGCAAACATTGCAATCACAGATGATATGAAAACAACATGTTTACACATGGCAGCGATGTCAGGGATGTCGAATCTGTTGGAAGTGTGTCTTCAAAACAGTGATGTCAACTCGCTAACAGAGTCAGGCTGGACACCGGTCATGGGGGCATGTAAAGGAGGCCAGGTAGATCTTGTCAAAGAATTGGTTAAGAGAGGAGCCGATGTCAATCTTGGAGGCGGATGCTTATATGTCGCATGCAACGAGAACTCTCTTGATTTGATCAAATATCTTGTGTCCCATTGCCAAGATATAGATATCAATAATCGTGGACCAAAGGAGAGAACAGCTCTTATGGCAGCCTGTTTTCACGGGAACATTGAAATTGTTGAGTATTTGCTGTCTTGCGGTGCAGATATGACATGTACAGATGAATACAAACAAACGTGTCTCCATGTAGTATGCAGGAGTGTCAACTTGCAGCTTGCAGAAAAGTTGGTACGATTGGTGCCTGTTGATGACCCAGATGAAAACGGTTTCACACCTCTCATGTATGCAGTGAGGTCAGACTCCCCTGAGTTGATAGATCTACTCATAACAAATGGTGCAAACATTAACACAAAAGACAGCCGTGGAAGCACCTATCTCCATTCAGCTTGCTGGCGTCGAAATGTTAATGCTTGTGCTAAACTACTTGAGCTGGGCATGGATGTGGATGTTCTGGATTCTGGCAACATAACTCCCCTTATGGGTCTTGCAAGGAACGAGGAAGACTGCACAGAAGTTGCAAAGTTTTTAGTTGAAAGAGGAGCAAATATTGATGTGAGAGATAAGGATGGTAATACCATGTTGCACGTTTCAGCTAAATCGGATGGTCATCCAGCCTTTGCAAAGTATCTTCTAGAGAAAGGTGTGGATGTCAATGTACGAGGAGCTTACAATCACACTCCCGTGATGTCTGCATGCAGAAGTGGAAATACAGCAGCCTTTGACTTATACCTAGCCAAAGGAGCCCAGCTGCACCACAGAAATAATCATGGAGCAACCTGTCTACATCTGGTATGCATGGTTGACACCGATAATACGTACATTGTTAAGGAACTACTTGATCGTGACGTTGACATCAATGCAATAGACGAATATAAGAAAACACCAGCTATGTTTGCCATTAGTAAAAGCAACGTCACCATCTTGCGACTCTTACTGGCACGGAATGCATCGATCATTGCATATGATAAAAGAGGTAATCGGTCTACTTTGCTGCATTATGCATGTAGTATTAAAGACATCAAGACAGAGAAAATACAGTTACTTCTTCAAGAAGGTCTGCGCGTGAATGAAACTAACATGTACTACTATCAGACGCCTCTGATGATTGCTGCAAGACAAGGAAATAGGGCTGCTGTAGACCTGTTGCTACAGTCAAGAGCTGATATAAACGCAGTTGATAGGAATGGCAGAAATTGTGTCGACCATGCTGAAAGCCAAGGCCATCGTGAGTTGGCTGGATACCTAGCAAATCGGTCAAGAAGAAGATACCATAGGTTTTGAAATGCCTACAATGTGACTATGTGATACACTTGAATAGCTGTTTGTGATACAGTACAATGCATTGCATTGCGCAGTAGACGGGACTATACTCTCTTCACACGAATAACACATCTCTGCATTTGTTGTTCAAAGGGAATCAAACCAATCTGGATAGCATATTTTGTTCAATAGTCAACAATATAAACAATGACTCTCCTTCTAGATTCTTTATTATTCGTTTTATTTGCACAATGTTCAGGAGTCAAAGAAGTGTACCCAAGTTTATCCTTTTCCCCTATTCTTTTGTCATCATACACATTTGTAATTACGATAATTCATATTTATCGTAACGGGAATTTTATTACCATTTGTATTTTCCGTTTTCTGTTCTTGTATATATGTACTAAATGTAATCACATTCGTGCGTAGAATAATTTGTACATTCTTCACGTTTCATACTGAATGATTTTACAAATCTGGATGCAAGAAAACAATAGGTTTAACTATCTTGTAAATAAAATGACTGATGAAATTGTATCTACAAAGTAGATGTCTTCATTAAATGCGAATCAAGTGAATGTTTGTTTTAATGACAGACTCGGCAATATCCCCGCTGTATGGCAGTTTGATGTATATAATGCAGTATGGTTTACACAATAAATGATTGACACCATGCAGCGTGAGTGAGTGAGTTAAAATTTAACGTCACATCGGCAATATTTAAGCCATATCGTGACGAGAACAATTAATTTTATGCATAGTAAGCAATGGTTAACTGTAAAAACTGTCAACGAAGGACAGTAAAATAACTAGATTATCACAGATTCGAATTTAAAACCAGTAATTAAATCTAAAACAGTTTAACTATAACACCATGCAGCGTATTTGAATACGACGACATGCATCATCAATCAAGTCAGAATGAATGACCACCCCATTTCGTCAGTCGCTTCTTACAGGCATGGGTTGCAGAAGTCCAGCATATAGCTAAACGACCTTACACTATACTGAGGTGTGCTCGATGTAGGTGTGGCTGGAATACGAGTTTATGTAGACCAATTCTAAGTCGAATCGGTGAAGGATTTAGTGTGTGAACATAAACTGATTTGGTAATTTAAATGTTTTGTCACGTTTCTTGAATATTTCAAGAAATGAGGTCCATATGTATCTGCTGCTGATACATATTTAGCTCATTCTTTGAACTGTTTAAGAAACGTAACTTTGAAATGTGAGGTTTTTGGCCAATGACTGAGACAAAGGACAGATCAGTGAACTATGTTTAATAACAGCAACAAATCTAATCTAGGATCAAAAGAAATATTTTCTAAGAATCGTTTTATGTCATAATTTATGATAATCCTTTTATTTGGTCATTTATTTTTAAGTTTCTGTTAAATCGTTTGACAAAGTTCTCGTTGTGTTTATATTGTCAATCCGAGCACAAATTCCAAAACCATTTCTTCCTTTTTTTGCCTGACTGACAGATGTTGATGTATATAAACACAATGGTTGTATATTCTCACTAAGTTTTATATTTATATTGTTCATTTACTACTCTATCTTGTAATATGCTTTTATATATTTCATAAGTTTTAAATGTTTAGTGTCTCACAAGACAGTAATGGCTGGATGGCAGTTTTTTATATAGCTATTTTGAATGCCTTGATTATACCTATTGTAACTGTCATGTGGCACTTTAACACAATACTTCTGTCTGTCTGTATATGTGAAAATAGAGATGCTCGAGAGATCTCGTTGTTTCCCGACACAGATATTTATGAAGAAATTGATAATGATACTTTGAAATACATCATGCTATGTTTTTGTTACCTCATATGGAACCTAAGGAAACATTCCCTACGGTTCAGAATTGCGGAATAAAGTTTATATTAATGAGAACTGTATCACACGCCTTTGTTTTATGTACTTCATGTTCCCGTATACTAAGTGTGCACTTACATTACCTGTCCTTTGGCCCATCCGCGTGGGCATGCCATACACATTACAAATCATGATAAAGACTCGTGTATCACTACACTGGCAATCACTTTTGAATTCCTCAAGTAAATTGTTGAATATGTCAGAATATGAACGCCTAATGGGAATGGTCCTTGCAGAGTCGACCTGATACCTCCGTTGTACGCCGTCTTACTGTTTTTAGAGCAGTATCTTCCATTATGCTTTCCATTGACAAAGCAAGATATATTTGAATGACATATGGTCGGTTCCTATGTGACGCCACCCACAGGTCACGTCATTTCCGTAACGGAGTCAGCATATACTATCAGGATTTGACTGCGCACCACACGTATCCGAGCTACACGACCATACACAGAACACTACTTTAACGTGTTCAACATTTAAAATGGGACCGCAGACATGTCAGATCCGAAAAGAGGATCAGTGGAACAGGATCGATTTCAGTTATTAACAAGTCACATTTTACATTGCGCTTTGCCAAAGGCACAGGATGGAAACGGGTTCGTGTGGTTTGGTCGACCTCAGGTACTTAGTGTTTATGTGGTTGTTTATGGTGTTTATTTTCGTGTGATTGTAGATACCATTTCCATTTAAATATCAACAACAGCCAAGTTGAAATGTGACACGAAGCGCCCGTACTCTGTATTTGTGTAGCATGTACCAATATTCACAACACTGTTTCTCTCACGCTGAGCTTAGTTGGCACATGTAATCGGTTCCCAATTGAGCAGATTAATGTTCATGCTGATAATCACTGGATTGTCTGGTCCAGACTCGATTATCTACAAACCGCCGCCATACAGTTTGAATATTGATGAGTACGGACAACTGGTACTCTAGACTGCGGACTTTGTGTACCCCTCTGATAAGTGTAAACTGGCATGGCTTCCACGGCGAAAAGCTATGAATACACAAGGCCACTTAGGAACCAGCTAAGTTGTAATGTTGACATGAGGTGCTCGTGCGTTGTGTTTCTATAGTTCGTATCAATACCCATTATACTGTTTCCTTCACACTGTCCAAACTGAACATGTGATTCCATAGCAAGTAAAGTATTTCTTTAGTCTGCATCAGTAATCATGACATTGCTTCCCTCACACTGTCACAACGGACCTTGTGAATCCATAGCAAGTAAGCTATTTCTATAGTCTGTGTCAGTATCCATTACACTGTTACTCTCACGCTGCCGCAACTGAACTTGTGAATCTAGAGCATGCAAATATACTGGGAATACATATAACAGCTTGAAACAAGTCATTTATAAAGTTTTTAAGTCCACAAACAAACTGCAAAAGACCCACATGTTACAACATTGCATTTGTTCTTTAGTCATCAGAAGGTCGGCGAGTGAGTGGTTCTTACAGGATTTTCAGCGCTGCCTCTAACCACAAAACGGTGATATTTTTTAACATGAACCATCGAATAAAAAATGATCAGCTAACCATATATATACACTGACAATTTGTGCACAGTAGAAAACCCACCAATTAGCTTGAATATTGCTTGGTGCGGCGTAAAACTAAACTCACTCACTCACTCCCTGACGCTGACGCAAGTGAATTTGTGATTTGACAGCAATTAAGGTACTTCAGTAGTTTGTATCAGTATCCATCACACTGTTACACTCGGACTGTTGCAGCTGACAATTTGTGAATCGAGAGCAGGTATATATACTGGAAATACACGTAACACCTCGATACAGGTCACCTATAACTGGAGAAAACCCAAATGTTACCGAAAGCGCTTTACTCTTTGGGCATTGCAAAGCCGGCGAGTAGGTGGTGTTGAGCGATTTTACGCTTCCTTCAGCTAGACCAGAGTTACCCCCCCCTTAGACCACAGCTGCAACTTTTACCCTGACCCGGACGCTCAATCATTGACAATCTTTACAAACTGCCTAAAGACATACCCCTTACAGAAGATTGAATTACAATGAAGATATAACACCTCTACTGCACTGTATTTTAATTTTGTGAAACGCTATGGCATTGTTGGCACATAACACATCTACTTATTATTATTAACATTGGTATTAGCTCTGTGCCAACATTACGTTGTTATAGTATTATACTCTTGGTCTGCATTAAATGCCGTTACATGTAGGTGACAAGTCGTGATTCACATTTAACTGTTCGTAAACACAACTCTTGTGCCACAATCAGGGTGGTCATATATCATAGCATATAATGTTCTCTCTAAATACTCAATTCCTTTATGTAGTCTTTCATCGGTCAGAAGGCATGTATTCATAGGATGTATATAGACAAAACCAAGTGTGTTATCACGTTCAGAAAGAAATGTCTTATTCTCAAACACAAGAAAGATTATATCTGTGTAATCAACAGTAACACCACGTTGGCCGCATATCAGCGCTGGACAGCTCTCGTCATTGTCAATTGAAATTGACATCGTCTCCCATATCTGCACGTGGACCATGCTTTGCAGTGGTAGTCTCCTTATAGGATATATCATGAGATAATTTAGCCGGCAAAGTGTCGCCAAAGCATCCCATGCACATGTTGAGATGTAGATATAGATGTAGATGTTATGAACATGTGACTGCATACTTACCTAATAGTTTTCAAGTGCTATCCATGCTGACACGGTGAATAAACGTGTACAACTTGCCTGCGTCTGTGGGGAATCGAAAACAAACAACGTGAGTACCTGCTTGAAGGTGCGGCCATAATCGTCCTCGCACTTTCCTTCAGACTGTCGCATGTTTTGCACGGGTAATCTGCCGTGTCGTAAAAGTGTGAGGAACTTTTGTAACATTCGTCAGTGTATCCCTGGGCCGTCGGCGATATAAAAAAGTCCCTATTTTATTAAATCTGTCCAAACGTTGATGTTTTGAACGTAAGTATTATTTATGATGACTGGTACGTTGTTAAAAGTCTGTTTGCGTGATTTTTGGCGTGGTGTGCCTCGAGGTGTGGGTGAGTTAGTTTGGCACTCTTTTTCTTTCATTTGGGGCACGTCTCAAATAGTTGTTTTTTTCTTTTTAGCTCCCATACGTTGTATTCACATTGATAATGTTG